TTTTATGTTGTCATGGTTACTCTTGCACAATATCATTTTTGGTCTTGTTTTGTTTGTAAGTGTGTAGTTTAAACAACAATTGAAAAATATAACAATGTACTTTGTATGTTGACAATTACTCCTAATGACTCAAAATAAGATTGTACTGTGAATGGTACCCTTACCTGGTAAACACCTCAAAACCAATGGAATTAGATGAAGTTTCTGCACATTGTACTTTGATCAAATAACCAAAAGTACAACATATTATGAACATTTTGTGGTCTTAAATATGTTTCTCAAAATGGCAATGTACTTTGAAGATGAAATGTGGCAGTATAGTTCATTCGTATTCAAGATAATTAACATAATGTTTCTCAAAATGGCAATGCACTTCAAGAAATGGAGGTCAAAATGTCTCTCCAAATGTCATTACATGCACTGTTTTGATCAAAGCATAAAGTAGTTCTTGAAATCTTTGAAAAAAAAATATATGGTTAAGAGAGATTTATGCCAAATATTTTCACTTACATAAATATTTAAAAATGTACTTTTAACAAAAAAAAAAAATCATACATTCAGTTATACATAAACACTTACACAAAAACAAACAATCAAACGGCAATGTAATTTTACAAAATATATATCATTGCTATTCAAGAACATTAACATTACAACCACCTCTTTTGGGTACAATAAATTGGTTTATGTACAATAATCGCGGTAAGTGACACCCCCAAAACACCATTACAGTAGTTTAATCCAAAAAAAACCAACAACATATATATATATATATATATATATATATATATATATATATATATATATATATATATATATATATATATATATATATATATATATATATATATATGGAAAAGATCAAATGAGAACACTAAAAAGATAAGGGTAAACTAGTAATTTTATATTTAAATTAAACTGTAACATATTCAAATTTAAATGAAAAATCCCTAAAATCTAGCCATAATGAAGGGTTACCTAAAATAAGGAACTTATTTTTTTATTTCTTAAATTAATGTAAAAATCTTTTTTATCAGTTTTCTCGTATTATTAAAATAAAATAAAAAAATAAAAAAAATAAAAACTTACGTTTTTTTTTTCTATTTTATCATTTGTCGGAATATTTGTAATCATATATGGTTGCAACATAATTTTAATCATAAATGAATATTGTTTTTAATCATATAAGAACGCAACATACTTTAATCATATATGAATCAAATATATATTCAATACAATTATAGACATAAAATAGTAAAATAAATTACATAAATAACTAATTATACATTTATTCATAAATGAAGAAAACAACAAATAAACGAATTTGTTGTATCATAATTAAGTATTTTTTTTAAATCATAAATAGATTCAACAAAAAAATTTTACTACAATAATTAACAATTATTCTATAATCACAAATAAATATCTCATGATCTTCATAAATTTTCGTTGCATATTATCGCTTCAATACTCCATTTCCGAAGGACCTTGAAATCTTGATTTATTTTTCTGTACATTAAAAACAAAATAAATATCAATAATATTAATTAAAATTTTGAAAAAACTAGATGACATTAACCGGAACATATCATATAATCATCAGTGAATAAAATACCATAAAAAAGCTATATTACATAGCCATTAATGAATATCATACAAAATTGTATATCCAAAAAAAATGTAAGAAGGCTAGCTCTATTACATTTCATCAAATGAATAGCATAAAAAATATCTAAAGTCCAGTCCATTGTAATCACAAACTATCAAAACTATATGAGATTTGATGTTGTTTCGAACTCTCCAAACTTAATCAACAAAAATAAACTACAAAAACTAATTTAAGAGGGCTAGCAATCAATCATAGTTAACTTTTTTTTATCAAATCTTTAATATTTTGGAAATTACACACACCATTAATAATGAGTTTAGCATTATCATTCATTCTTTGATTTTTAGCAAAACTTAAATGTGAAAATGGATTTTAAATAAAGAAAAGTTCATCAACATAAAAATCAAAATTCAGTATGCATAAAAATAAAGGAATTCAAGACGTGAATTCTAGTGCTATGGATATTGACGTGAAGGCCAAAACGAGAAGAAAAACAAAGAAATCTTACGTGCATCAACAATGGAAATTAGACAAATAAGATGTTGTAGGTTATCTTCACCATCGCCAATAACAAATAAAATACAATAGCAACTCACCGGCAATAGCTCTATCGCAACACTTCAGTCAATAGTAACGAGCGGAAAAGGGTTGATGGCCGAAAGGGTTGATAAGAAACCCTAATTGAATTAGATATTCAGAGAGAGAAGTATTCCATATTTAAAAGGCTGATTTTATGTAACCTAAAAGAATGAAATTCCTATACTAACCTTACGTTCATTTAGAAGTTACAAATTGGCTCCATTAGCTTTAAATTTTGACATAAATGGCATACTTGATCTAAACCGTAGATCTTATAGTTTATATGATTTCAGATCTGTTCTCACGTTCTCAACCTTTTTAGTGTTCTCATTTGATCTTACTCATATATATATATATATATATATATATATATATATATATATCACAATTAAACCCCTAAATTAACCAACATTACTTACTAGACCACCATTACAACCGAATCAACAAAAACCCAACAAACACTATTACCTAACAACATCCACAAAACGGTTTCAGTATAGCACATACCCACACTACTTCTAAGATCGACTCATTCAACTTACAATAGAACCTACCTCGAGAATCACAATCCACAAACTGAAATTGAACATCTTCTGCACCATCATCACCTAGTCCCTTAGTATCATGAGCCTCTGGTTGGTTGATGACGTTTCTCATATTTTCCATTTACACTTGCATCTCCATAGCCAAATGCTTGTTTTCAGTGGGGATATCCAACTCCAAGGTGTGGAAACCACCATAAGAAAAGCTACTGGATGAAGACATGTTCACTGGGTTCTTTCACACTTAAAGTATCAGTTTTAAATTCCATTCTTTCACACTTAAAGTATCAAATTTCATAACTAACTTGTCTTTGTTTGTATTTTCAGAATTTTGGTGTCTTAAATTTTTGACTTTTTCTTTTTCAATTTGTAGTGACATTAGGTTTTCAAAAACTTGGGATTGTTTTCAGACTCGAGGTGCATGTATTCTTTTCTTAAAGTAGTGTTATTTAGCTATTGACAATCATACAATGTTTTCTAAAAGGCATCTAGACACAAGCAAAAAAAGCTAAAAATGAAAATTTGAAGATGCTTTAATACATTCTCAAAAAGGAATTATAGATAAGCTTTTTAAACCATTGAGTTCTTGTAATTTAAATTAACATGAAACTAATTCAAATGAAGAAAATACTACTTTAAGTTGTTGATTGTTACCAAACGTTTTTATTGCATATAACATCTTATTAACCATTTTTTGCTACAGTAGTTGCATCTATAGAGAGAAATTTTCGAATAGAAAGTGATTGAAGAATTATTTAAGGTCTTTAATATTACAAGAAATATTGAATTGTTTGACAATATCATATATTGAGAAATATATGTTAGATAAAGTTGATCTTAAGTATTAACAATGATTTTGCATCTAAAAAAGCTATAACTAATTTTCTTTAAACCAATTGTTTTTTAAATGTCATGGTTATATTTGTGTTATTAATAATATTATTAATAAGTTCTGTAAATGATATCTACATTTTCGAATCTTTGTTATACTTACGACTTACGGGGCCTTTTTTTTTTCTTTTCACCCCGGACCTAAAATATATTTGGACCAGCCCTGCACACACATCTGATATAATGTGTATCTATAAGGAATATTTAAGTACATTACATCAAGCCAAGGAAAAAGTATTGCTTTAGTACTAAAATTCTTATTAAGAACCGATGGCAGACATAAGTGGTTCTCTAGAGGTCCTGGGACACTATCTGTCCGTTAAAAATAATAATAATAATAATAATAATATAAAATTTGTTTTTCTATTAATGTGCAACCTCTTTAGAAATTAGTGTCACTAATAATTTATATTAGGATGGAATTTGTTTTGTACCACTACTATTGAAAATTTATGTGTGCGCCGTTAAATCCTTAATAAATAAATTATGCAGTAACTCAAGGAGGAAAAAAGAAAAAAAGGAGACAAAGAGAAAGACAAGAAAGGGAATTATAGTTAGTTTTAAGTGATTACACACGATTACCCAACAAACTATTTAGTTTCCAAAAAATTACGACGGATTTACACATAAGGACTTTAAAATTTATTAAAATCCGTGTGTAAGCGTATTACAGAATTCGTAGTTAATCCTTCATCGAACTGCTTCAAATGTACTTAAAAGTTGGGTATTAGAATTTGTGGGAGATCTGTTGCTATTTAGTCCGTCGTTTGTGTGCACTACGTAGTTTTGTTGTAGTGAAATTTACAGAAAAGTAAAATGTTTTATAATAATGAAACAAAAAAATTGAAAGTTTAGTGGTTAGCTAAGGTATGTATATGAAACACAAATAAAACTTAGTTACTATCGACACTTTATAGTTTATCAAAAAATAATGTGAGACATAGAATCTTTCGTCAAACCAACTATGTATTTGAAAGATGATCTGGTTCATAGCCGATGTTGTGCATGGATGCTCTCGATCAAAAGTTATGGTAGTTTAGATTTGTCATATTTCCCATAGTTTGGTGTTACTAATCCCTGAATGATTCAATCAGTTGCTCCATTTACTCTCATTTGTTTATAGTAAGACTACCTGCCCTTAATTATAGATTTACATAATAAATCCCACATGGATCTCTATAAATTTTTTATTCCTCTAAATTAGAAAAAGAAAAGTTGATGAAGAAAAGCTATTCATGAGGCATTATATTCAGCATCTTTATCGATCTATAAATACCATTAGACACTTCAATGGTTTTCACACCACAAAACTAGCGAATACTTCCTTATACTCAAAAGTAAGCTAGTTTTCATTTCACATCCCAATATTCTTCATCAAAATGGCTTCAAGTGCTTTGAGAACAACTGCCTTTCTTGTAACTCTCAACCTTATCTTCTTCACTTTGGTAAGTTCAGAGCCATTACCAGAAGCCACTTGTGCTATAAATGGCCTCAAGTTGGGTGTGTGTGCCAATGTCCTCAACGACTTGGTGCATGGCATCATTTCAGGAACCCCATCACCTTCCCCTTGCTGTGACCTCTTCTTCGGTCTTGTTGAACTTGAGGCAGCAGCATGCATTTGCAAGGCCATTAAAGCTAATGTATTGGGTGTTAACCTCAATGCATCAGCCTCCATGAGCTTGTTGCTTAACCATTGTGGAAAGGAGGTCCCTTCTGGTTTCCAATGTGCTTAGAAATCAAAGAAGAAGAAATTCATGTGTGTTTGCAATTTTTCATTGACATCCTCTCTCTTTTGATTATGGTGTTTTTGGGTTATTTTGGAGTGTTATGTTTTGTTATCATGTTTCTTTAAATTTTAAAGGCTCGCCACCTTGGGGCGTAGCATTGTACTTTTAGATCCTGTCACAATCAATGTGATAGGATTTTTTGTTTTCCATTCATGAATAAAGATGCATGTTCTCTTAGTCTTGATGTGTTATTGTATGATAATCGATCAATTTTTCATTATACAATCCCCTATTTTTATATATACACAGTGCAAGGATAATCTTAATCTTAACAATGTATAAGATGTATGTATATGAAGAAACCTTCTCTCCGGTGGCTAAACTTGTCGATGTGAGATTTGTATTTTGTCTTATTGTTAATTTAGGCTAGAAATCGTATCGGTTAGATATTAATAGCATTTCCTATATATAACTTCGGAAGAAGTGTCTATGACATGTCCTATGGTGTCTTTTTGTAAAAGATGATAAAAGGTTTGTAAGATTTCCAAGTCTCTTTATAAGCCTTAAATAATGGAAAGAGAAACTTAAACTTACCTGTGATATTTGAATATATATATATATATATATATATATATTAAAACTATATTAATATGAATGTCTATTTGTAGAGAATAAAAAATCATGAATTTTAGTATATTTAAAATAATTTTTCTATAAAAATAGCTTCTTAAAAATTATATTAAAAAAAAAAAAAAAAAAAAGACGAAAAAGTTAAAGTAATGCTTAACATAGTTTAAGAAAATATGTTTTGTTGGAAAAAATGGAAAATTGATCTACTATTACACATCTATATATTTCGTTCGTTATTTAGACTTTAAGCCAATTTATGCATCTTTTTAGAAAGTTTCATTTGAGACTTGCTACAATAGTTTTAAGATATGTGAAGTATTGCCATAGAATATGTGATTTAGTTATTTTTTTTCTCTCTTATATTCTAGAACTAGAATAGCAAAAACACATAGCATTATGTTGGGTTTCTATATACAAAGCAATGGCTCTAGTGATCTAATTATTGATGTTTTGCCTCCTGATCTGTTGTGATAAGAGATCTGCCATTCATGTGTTCATCTACACCTATTATCCATGAAAGAACCATACTTTGAAATTCATGTACATTTGGTTAACGAACAAGTTGGATTTGGAATGTTGAAGAAGATGGTATATTTCACTTTAGTATTTTGGTTGATGTGGATTATTTATTACATAGAAGAAAATACAAACTTTCTCATTACAAAATGGTGAAATCACAAATAGTCTCAACTGCTTGTTCAAAAGAGAAGATGATACATTATTTGTTATCAGTTCAAACACCAAATGGCAAACAAATAGACACCCTCCTCCTCCACTTCCTTCTAGGGTTCTCCACCAAGCTCCACTCGGAGGTTATCATATGGAAACACCTTTGGAGTCTATTCAACAACAGCAACAAAATAATAATAAATTAGCAGTTATTACAAATGAATAAACCTGTAATTCAAATCTGATTATTATCACTTCATTTAGTTTCCATGTGTGGATAAAATGGGCTGAATGGATAATGATGTTAATGTTTGTGCGGATATAAAGATTCTTTCTTTTTTAACCGAATGTAGTGTCTGAATTGTCTTGAATCTTTAACAAATGACTATTTTACCCTACTGTTAGAAATTATGATGAAGGGTAGTGGGGTTAATAATCCAGTTCTTAATAGATAAACTAATCATCCATACACTTAGCCATATAAGATATAATGTATCTATAAAGTTTAAAAAAGAAAAGAAACAAACCTATATATCATCTTGTAGGTTTTTTTAGAACCCTAGAAAGGTTCTTGCAAGCCGAAAGTAAAAAAGAAGTAAAGAAAACACCAATTCACAAATATATATATATATATATATATATATATATATATATATATATATGAACCCTATTCATGTATGTATTTACCCTTAAGTAATTTAATAGTCACAATTTCATCCCTCACTTGTTTCAATACTTGCAAGAACTTGGTTCTTTTATGTGGTTATTATTCATTCAGCAATCAGCATATGATGTTCATGGATTTCTACTTATTAAATAAGTAAAAATATTTGGTATCAAGATCACGGGACTTACAAATGGTATCTTAGAAGCTTTGTCATTCAAGGTAGCCATCAACCCAAGAGTTGCAAAAAATCCCAATCCACCACATAACCAACCAAGTGCTTCATACTGAAATCAACAGTAACTTGAATGAGTTCAATATCAAGAGAGAAATGAAGTTGATTCAGATTTTCCCCAAACAGGAAGCAAATTGAGGAAACATGAAATTTTACCTTTCCAACAGTGTCAGCTATGCGATCAATACAGGGTTCGGGGAATGCAGTTCCGTTATCCCACATCAGCTCGTCATTTACAGGGAGCTGAAGCACACAATGAAATTGTTCAAGATTCTCTACAATCGTCTAACTCAGTACATTAAACCCAACATCAAACAGATCAACAAATTACTCGTTTATGTTACATATGACCATCAAGTTCATATAAAATCGAGACTTTTTAACCAATTTTTATTCTATAATTTGGTTAATCTTCGTAACTGATCGCTAGGGTTTCGTTCTTTTTTTCTGAAAGTAACTTCAAAACCATTAATTCCAACCACGATATCCAATTTAACTTTGAACTGAAACTGAAATTGACTAATATGCTTATGATCTGAGAAATGAGGGAAATGGAAATTAGAACTTACAGGCTTATCGGGAACGATATGTTTGCCAACTGGTAAGCCCATACCGGAGCGGAGACGAAGAGAAGATGCGACAGAGCGGCCAACGACTCCGTTTCCGCCCATAATCTGAGACGCCACATTGCTCAATCTTCCGGCCATTGTTATTTTGATCAGATTCTTCAAACTGATAGATGTAATATGGCACAACGAGGACTAATTTTGAGATCGGCTGAGAAAGGATGATTTGTTCATGTGAAAATTGGGGATTGTTATTGGGTATGGGTCGGACCCTCGCAGCCAAGCCCATTTAAGCGAGTATATAACTAATTCTAGTCAAATACAGAAATAGTCCTTTGGTTATCAAAAAGCAGCAGTTTTAATCCTTTTTTTTGTTACAATTTCATACTTAAATTTAAGCTATATTACAATTTTGCTCTCAAAAAATATGAAATTGGCATTCTTACCCTTTATAATGTTTTATTATTTTTATTTTACTGATTTAATTCTTTTTTTTAAGTCAAATGGCGAGGGATGCACCTAAGGTGACTTTTGGTCGGCCAACTTGGAATGACTATTTAGTGACGAACAGGTGTCTCTTTGTTTTTTATTAAAACCTCTTCAAATTATTTTTTGTTGGTGCATCACACTTCTCGCAACAATTTGTTTTTGGAAGACTTTAGGTCCTATGTGATAGTTGTTGTATAGGAAAGTGTTGTCCGGAAAAAAAAAATTATCAAGAAAGAAATCATATTGTTTGATTGTAGATCTGACTGATTGTGCTGAATAATGAAAAATAATCATATTACCCTTCTGTTCTATATTATGATGGATGAAATTGTTGAATATTATAAAAACATAAAAATTATCATACAAAATTTAAATGATTACACAATAATTATTTAAAAATCCAAATACAAATTAGCATACGAAGTAATTAAACATAAATCAATTAAATTCAAATGGATACATACCAAAATTGAAAATAACATATTAATTTGCATACAACTGTAAAGTAAACCAGGTAAAAGTGGTTGATCAACAACTAAACTATGTTCCTTTAACAATTTTTCAGCTACAACCTTCCATGAGTTTGGTTTGAGGGCACTACGATCACGACCGTTAGTGGTTACTTCATGGATACACGCATCAAGAAAAGTTTGTCTCAACTTTGGTCCCAAATTATTCTAGATTTCCTTTGTAACATGTCTATAATAATAATAATAATAATAATAATAATAATAATAATAAACATATACATTGAAAATTCAGCCATGTATGTTCATAAATTCAACATCTTTGTACAAAAAACAACATATATATTGAAAATTTAGCATTTATGTTCACAAATTGAGCATCTTTGTACAAAAAACAACATATGTATTGAAATTTCAGCATGTATATTCATAAATTCAACGCATGTATGTTCATAAATTCAGCATCATTGTACAAAAAACAGCATATATATGGAAAATTCAGCATCTTTGTACAAAAACCAGCATATATGATTTTGATTTCACCGGCAAAAAGTTCACAAATTCTTCACAAAATCAACATGTTTGAACAAAATTCAACATGTATCCTATTCTAATGGTCGAATATTACATGAAAGAAAATATGATTTTGATTTTGACTACAAAAAAAGTTCACAATTTTTGAAATGCTACTCATATTCGAAAATCACAAGAAAGAGAAGCAAATGAAAGAAAGAAGAAACCACAAAAAAACTATTTAATAAGAATTGATATAAGCCTAGAAAGACGTTTATCAAACAAGGCATTAGATTACAAAACATCTGTGCATGTTTTGCACGGCGCAACACTTTACTTGTCTTTTCAAACCTCTTCAATTTTCATTTTTTTCTAAGTGATTTTAAAAATAAAAAAAAAAAATTATATAGCCTTTTTTTTAAACTTTGATTTTTTTTTTTACTTTGATTTACTGATTTGATACAATTTCTTTAACTTTGATTTTTTTAAATTTTTTTATCTTCTTTTAATAATATTTTTAGTTTCGGTTGCAATTTTTTAACATGTATAATTCTTCTACGAACATTGTAGATATTATTTACAATATTTTCTTAATTTTTATTTTTACGTTTTTTAAAATTAGTTCTCTTCTAGAATAAAACTGATAGCTACTTTTACATTTTTTTAGAAATTTTATATTTTTGTTTTTTTTACATGTTCTCTTTAGTATTTTTTTTTCAATGTTTTAAAACTATAATTATTAAAATTTCGGTGTTGAAAATTATTTTCAGTTT